TCCTTTCTTTCTGGGCTAGCTGCTTAGTTGGAACATGTGAATGCAGATCAGTGAGGCATGCCAAGAGGTGACTTTGCCAGTCATGAGCACTTTAAAAATATATGCACTAGGGGAAAGTTAGTCTGACAGACATTTATGAAGTACCTAATGTATATTGGAGATCGATTGTGCTGGGCATGAGAGGTATAGAAAGATGGCTAAGATGGGAGCTTGCCTTCAAGGAACTTTTAGTCTAATGGGAGAGACAGTTTCAGTAAAACGTTTAAGTGCAGTGGTCAAGGTTTGCACAGAGGCTCTTCTGAAGTTTCTGTTGATGTGAGTGGGCCCTGAAGGGTGAGTTGGTCCAGCTGGGTGAAGAACACAAGTGAGCAACGTTCAGGAAGAGTGCAGGGATTAGACAAGTGCACTGAGATGAGCCTGGTGCAGGGCATGCCCTCAGCTCAGTATTACCAGGGCACAGTGGGAAGATAAGGGGGCTAAAAATTCAACTGGGCGGGCCAGCGGAAGCCAGGTCTTATTGGCCTTCCATGCTGGATTGAAGAACATGGACATGGTCACCAGGTTAGGAGAGATCATGGGAGCAAGCACACCCACTAGCATTCAATAGACCAGGTCGGAGGGGTCCTCTGGACAGAGCTCTGTTTTGTGGCAGACCTGGAGTTCCCAGGTTGGTTGCTGTGCCTCCTGGTAGCATCTCCGCTGTCAAGTCCCACTTCTAGTATTGTTGCTTCAGCAAGGCCTACCTAATAGTCATCACATGTTTTATAGCTGCAGTCATTTGTATGTTCTCTCTCTTTTAATCCAAATAACTGTAAAAGTAGATATTTTTAAATCCTCATTTTGGAGTTTTTAAAAATTGTGTCTCAGAACAATTAAGTGCCTTGCCAGAAGCTTGAACTGAGGCTTGTCTGCTGCACTGTTCTCATAGGTAGAGAATGTGCCCCTCCAATCCTGAATGCTTCCTTTCTTGGAGTAAGAGGGTAAAGGTAATGTGCATACACCAGGGCCCCACAGCACTCTACCTTTGGGGGACATGTGTAGAAAAAGCTGCACTTTGCAGGAGATTGGGTTGTCAAGAGAAGAAATAACTGCAGTGGGTTTCTTTTAAATACTCTCATTTCCACGTGTATGTAAAATAGAGTGGCGTGCCCTAAATGTGACTAAGTTAATGCTTGCTGACAGGGAAGTCTGCTCACTTATATTAAGGTGCATGGAAAGGCTGAAATTGCTGCCTAAATCAAACCTACTTGCTTGCTGTGGAAGAGGCAGAGGCAGGCTGGGATGGCTCTGTAGGGCCAAGAACCCTTGAGCTGGAAGAATTCTCGCAGAACACCAGAGAAGCCTCTGCAGACATTCATTCTACTTCCCATCCCTCACCACCCTTCTTTCATCTAATCCTGGCCAACATCAAGAAGTTCCTCAGGTAGCAGACTCTCCCACTTTTGGCACAGCCTGCTTCTGTGGCCTCATCTGCCATTATCTGGGCCTTTGCATCCTCATGCTGCCCATGTGCATGGACCACCCACACCCTGCCCAGGGCAGCACCTGGGACCCCTTGTCCTCCCCTTTGTGGACTCAGCTCAGTCCCTGACACATAGGGCTGAATGGATGCACACACAAAGTATAAATGGAAGGCAGAGAGAAGGGGTGAGAAAAAATTATTTCTGAGGCTTTGAAGTTAAGAATCTTAATGAGCTTTTTGAGAGTAGGACATGGCTCTTAAAATAAAATTATCTCTCTGCTATGCTTTGCCCCAAAGCCTGACCTTCTATGTATATAGGAAGCACAAACCTTGGATGTTCCTGACACATGTCTTCTCACATGTACACAGCATTTACCCTTGAACCATGCTGACCTGGGTTTCCATTTGGCTCTTGAAAGAATTAATACACAATCCCAGTGTATGCCCTCATGGGTATATGCTTCTTGTCCATAAGTATACTGGCCAGGTGATGATGGGGTAGAGGGGTGATCTCATTTAATGAGATACTTGGCCTTTGGTCAGTGACTTAAGAAGATAGCTCATCTTCCCAGGGAAAGTCCAAAAGATCACCAAAAAGAAAGAGATGTGACTTTCAGAATTCAGGAAGGTAGAGCTTCTCTAAACAGAACAAATCCTCAGGACAGAGCAGAGAATTTGATGGAATGACCAGTCCAGGGCTGGCATTAGGAGAATGGGTTAGATGTTCCATGCATTTTGTAAGAAAACTCATACCTGTTTATAGCTGGTTGTCTTTGTGTATCATTTATATATGTATTCCTTTGCCACTAATAGTGGTAACTATCATTTACTGAATATCTAGTACATATTGATGCTGGTCCTCAAATGATCTGTGTTAGACAACTGTATTTACAGATGATGCAATGGGGGGTTAGCACTATGAATGGTGTGACCAGGATTTGTTTCCACCTCTATAAGTCCAAGCCCTCTGTTCTTTCTTTTCTCTGGGTTCTGCACTAGGCTTTTTTTTTCTTTTTTGATTATGCCATTACAGTTGTTCTATTCCCCCACTTCAATCTCCTCCACCCCCTCACTATTTCCCCCCTTTAGTTTATGACCAGGTGTCTCAAGTCCTTTAGATTCTATATTTCCCGTGCTATTCTTGCCCTCCCCCCTATCTATTTTCTACCTACCATCTATGCTACTTATTTTCTGTACCTTCTCCCCCCTTTTCCTCCTCCCACTCCCCTGTTGCTAACCCTCCATGAGATCTTCATTTCTATGTTTCCGCTCCTGATCTAGCTGTCCTTTTAGTTTGCTTTTGTTTTAGGTGTGGTTGTTAATAACTGTGAGTTGGCTGTCCTTTCACTGTTCATCTTTTTTATCTTCTTTTTCTTAGATAACATTTAACATTTCATAGAATAAGGGCTTGGTGATGATGAACTCCTTGAATTTGACCTTATCTGAGAAGCACTTTATCTGTCCTTCCATTCTAAATGAAAGCTTTGCTGGATAGATCAATCTTGGATGTAGGTCTTTGGATTTCATGACTTTGAATACCTCTTTCCAGCCCCTTCTTGCCTGTAAGGTCTCTTTTGAGAAATCCACTGACAATCTGCTGGGGACTCCTTTGTAGGTGACTGTCCCCTTATCTCTTGCTGCTTCTAGGATTCTCTCCTTCATTTTAATCTTGGCTAATGTAATGATGATGTGCCTTGGTGTGTTCTTTCTTGGGTCCAACTTCTTTGGGATTCTCTGAGCTTCCTGGATTTCCTGAAAGTCTATTGCCTTTGCCAGATTGGGGAAATTCTCCTTTATTATTTGTTCAAATAAATTTTCCACTCGTGGCTGTTTCTCTTCCCCTTCTGGTACTCCTATAATTCAGATATTGGAACTTTTAAAGATGTCCTGGAGGTTCCTAAGCCTCTCCTCATTTTTTTGAATTCTTGTTTCTTCATCCTTTTCTGTTTGGTCATTTTTTTCCTTCTGGTTCACTCCTTTGATTTGAGTCCCAGTTTCCTTTCCATCAGTATTGGTTTCCTGTGCATTTCCCTTCATTTCAATTAGTTTAGCCTTCATATGTTCCTCTAATTTGTGACTAAAATCAACCAGTTCTGTGAGCATCTTGATCACCAGTGTTTTGAACTGTGCATCTGAAAGTTTGGCTCTTTCTTGGTCGCTTAGAATTATGGGCTCTGGGGCTTTGAGTTCTTCTTGAGCCATGTTTTGGTCTGTTCGAGCCAGTTACATATGAGGAGCAGAGCCTTAGGTGTTTATCAGGGTAGGGCCACCCAGGTCACTGGTATGTTAGGGTGGGGTCAGAGAGGGAGCAATAGCAGTCCGCTCTGCTGCTTCCTGCTGCTAGGGCCTGCGCAGTCTGTGTCAGTGCTCGCTCCTTCGCTGATTTATCTGCTGGAGAATGTGTGGCCTCGATCACCCTGCCGCCTTGCACCCTCAGTGGGTCCACCTGTCGCAACCCCATGCCTGGGATCCACCGACCGCCACCCTTGCACCTGAGTTGGTCTGTTCAAGTTTTCCTGCGCACCCCGGTCTGCCAGTCGCTGGCTCTACCCCTCTTAGTGGTCTGGCTGAAGGGTTCATTGTTGTTGGACTCCTGTATCCTTCAGTTTTCTATGTTTTGCCTGCATTTTTTGTTACTAAAATTTTGTTGTCTTTAAATGTGGTTGTGCGAGAAAGTACAATGTTTCCACCTATGCCTCCATCTTGGCAGAAGTCTTGCACTAGGCATTTACCTGGATTACAGAGTGTCTCTAGTGACCTAGAGAACATGTATTACATATGTCCCAGTGCATTGTGATTGCTTCAGAGGTCACAGGCTGCTCCTTTGGCCATGAGGTGATATCATGAGCACAGACTCCTGGAAAAGCAATTTTACAGATGAGGTTACTTGGGGCAACACTCTGCAATGAGGCATCTCCATGGAAGCATAAGTAGTGAAGTCATTCTGGTTTTCCTTCCGGGTTTCTCTCCAGTTATGTCAGTTGTAGGTGGCCCAAAAGGCCATGGGAAAGTGTTTCTCTTTTCAGGCCCTAATCTTCTATGGCAGAGACTCATATTTACCTGTATATGAGAATCTCCCAGGTGCTTATTAAAACAGCTTGCTGAGCTCCAGCTCAGCCGTCTCTGATTCAGGAGGTCTGGGTGGAACCTGACAAGTTGCATTTCTAACAAGTTCCTGAGGATGTTGTTGCTGCTGCTGCTGCTGCTGCTGCTCCAGCCACTGCTGTGGAGGGATGGGGCAGGGGGTAGGGGGGCGTGTCAGGCAGGAATTGCACTCAGAAAATCACTTTTCAAAGGTTTTTGCCAGAATCCTCTATATATACTTGCCTTCTCATGTCCCCCATTCTCCTATAAAATTATCCTTTAAACCACTTTGCTTGGGACTTCTTAAACAAAATTGCCTAGAGGGAGTGATGGCTTCTGTGAGACATTAAGTGAAGTCTGTCACTTGGCCTCCAAAATTAGGCAGTACTGTGACTGCATCTTTCTCCTCTCGTGGCATGAGGAGCTCACTCATTTTTGGGAACCTGTGTTTCAGGTGGTGAGAGCTGCTGAGGAAGCTGCGTCCACCCTGGCAAGCTCTATCCACCCAGAACAGTGCATCAAGGTGCTCTGCCCCATCATCCAGACAGCCGACTACCCCATCAACCTTGCTGCAATCAAGATGCAGACGAGGGTCGTTGAGAGGATCTCGCGGGAATCCTTGCTGCAGCTCCTTGTTGACATCATCCCAGGCTTGCTGCAGGTAGGCTTTGTGGTGCCTGCATGGGCTGTGGGGCTGGCACAGTCCAGGTGGCACAGTGCAGCTTCCCAGCTTAAAGTGATGGTAGGTGGGGAAAGCCAGGTGCTGACCTGTGGTTTAGAACATAGGAAGCTGTGTGGCTTGGACACCTCACACTTTTTCTCTTGTCTCCTAGTCCGCCCTCCCCTGAAGACAGCAGAAAGGGTTTCCTGACAGCCTAGGACTGTGGGTCACAGAATGAACTTTCTGTTTACTATAAACACATTTTGATCTTTTTGTTGTTGTTGTTTCTTTCTAATTTAACAAACCCTTATTGCACATCTGTGGGCCTCAGCCCTTGCCAGGTGGGCCATGGAGTGCAGAACCAGGTAATGGGCCTTGCTGTCATATATCATGCAAATGTTTATTGAAACCCTTCTAAGCATGAGGCATTGAGTTAGATAGATTTTGGAAAATAAGATGATTTCCACTGTTTGGCCCTGCCTCAGGGATTTTCAGCATAATCTGGGACACAATACAGCCATAGAGACAGGTAGAGATGCTGGTGCTGAGTTATTGTAGGGACATGCAAACTGAGAGTTGTGACATCAGAGGTGGAAAGGTGATTTCTGGGTCAAGGTAGCAAAAGGAGTAGGGCTCATCGGTGAGGTGTTTTAGAGATGGGTCCTGGAGAGAGAGAGAAATTTCAGTGGGGAAGAGTCGGGAGAAATCAGAATCACATGTAATAAAATGCTGCTGCTTGCTAAGCATGTGGCTTGGAATGCTGCGGAAGACTAGGTTATTCCAAGCAGAAGGAACAACACAACAGGCTGAAAAATCCTGGGGTCTGTTTGGAGAGCAGCAATAGTTCTGTTTGTTGTCAGGTAGGGATGAGGCTGGTGAGTAGGTTGAGGCCCACCTGTAGAGGAATGCTAACTATGTCAGGCCGTGGGACTGCACACAAGAGTGAGTGATGTAGTTCTCATTTCCTTAAAGGGATTTTCACATGTGAAATTTGTTTCACCATTGGGAGAAATAAGAAAGAAGCAAGTTATTTTTCTCTCTTAATTTCCTTTATTCATTCTGTCTCTGTCATGATGCTTCTTGAGTGACTCTACTGTGGTGGTTCATTATAAAGCAATGCCCTGTGCAGAGGCAGATCAGTCTGCATCTCACTAGCCTCCTGCTTCCATAGCCCCGGAGCCAGCTCACTCTTGACACTATTAAGTTTTCATCTCTCTGGGGTGAAAGCTCTGTGTGTTCAGTTGCAGAGTTAAGTTGTATCCTGGTTGTTTTTGACAAGTCCAGGATTGAACTGTAAGGGCATCTGTGGAACTGTTGATGAAATATTGACCATGAAGCAGATATTTGATCTCATCTCCTTTCTGTGTTCCTCTTCTGACTCCTGCAGGGGTATGACAACACTGAGAGCAGCGTGCGGAAGGCCAGTGTGTTTTGCTTAGTGGCAATTTATTCCGTAATCGGAGAAGAGCTGAAACCTCACCTCGCACAGCTCACAGGGAGCAAGGTATGTATAGTGTTACCTGAGCTGATACACACACCTGGGCTCTGCCAGCTTATCATAAATTACCTGTCTACAGCCCTGGGCTCCAGGCAGGTTTTTCTCATCATTTCTCCAAAAGCATTTTTCTAAAGATAAAACAACAACTATATAGTTAAGTCACTTTAAATTACAATCTAATCTGTTATAACTCATGTTTTTAAAACAGCTTTGAGCTTCTAGTTTATTCTAAAAGGGAAGGTGACTTTGTTTAGAAGCCAGTTTGTCTTTTCTCAGAAAACACAAAGGAAATTTACCTGCTAGTTTACCAGATTGCTGAGTTGGAGCTGGGTTTCTCATGGGCATCAACAACGATGAATCTGACTCTCACCTTGTTCCTCCCAAGTCCCAGGTATCAGGCACTGTTCTCTGCACTTTGTATTTGTTGACTTATTTATTCATGACAACATCCCTGTGGGTAAGAACAGTCATCCTGCATTTAACTGGTCCAAGGACACACAGTGATTTTACTCCTGAACCCAGGATTTTTTAACTCAGTATGCTGCCCCTCATGTTTCTTTAAGAGTATTCTCGAATCAGGCAGAAAGTAGAACAAAAGGATCATTGGCTCATTGAAAAATGGAAGCGGCTAGAGTGCTTATTGGCTTAAAAATAAACTCAGATCTGATGAACCTGCCACATTAGGGCAGGTAGAAACCTTCCAGCTCTGGCAGAAGAGGCAATGGTGGGAGGCAGGGGCCTCAGTTCCCACGGGGTGGAGGTTGGGTGGGCCTTGGGGAACTCTGTGAAGAGCTCCCTCTGGAGACTGCCTGCAGGGGAATTGCATAAGCCTGGAGTTATCTAGTGCCCTGGTAGTGGTGTGATTAAAAAAACACAAAGCTAGAAGTGCCTGACCTTGCTTCTTGTAAGAGAAGGAACCAGCAGGTGGTGCCCCATATCTTTTCAAATAGAGTTATTCTTTTGGCATAGTTGGTGAGCATCACAGTGTGTGAGTCTTCATTCCCAGAGTCTGAGCAAAGCTGACTTTGCCTGCCTTGATCCAGAGCATAGCTTATAGGACCTTCAGCACTGTTGAAACTTCAGGCCACTGTTGGGGGGGAGCATTGCCCTGTCCATTGTAGGAAATTTAACAGCATCCTTGACTGCCACCTGTGTATTTCAAGAGCACACTCTACCCCTCAGTTGTGATTCACTAAAGTCACCACACATGACCTGATATCCCCTAGGGAATAGAATGGCCCCTAGTTGAGAACCCTTCTCCTTGCAAACAGAAATAAACGTCGAGGTTAGAGGATGTGAGTGAAGCAGATGTAGATGCAGTGCACAAAGTGATTTGTGACTACTGCTTCTGATTCCATTTTCAGTTTCTCCTTTCCTTCTCTGCTCCTACAAAGCCTCCTAATTGATTCCTTTCCTGACCACATTCTGAGAGTGCTGAGTGAAGGGTCACAAGCAGTGTGCTAGGCCAGGAACCCTCCTAACCTTGCTTCCATCAGGGATTTGCAAGTGGTTCCTGGCTGTAGTGAAGACCTAGAAGACAATATTCAGAAAGGGAGTAAGATCTCTAAAATAGAAAATTCAACCAAGATTAATATTAGACCTTGGTTTTGTCTGGCACTTTTTACTGTCCTGTCATCTCATTTGACCCTTTTTGATAAGGAACTGAAAAAATACAGGTGTGCTCCCATCCCTGTTTTTCAGTCAGTCCTGCTGCTGCCCCTCTCAGTGGTAGCCCTGGGTACAGAGCCCATGTCCTGATCAGGAGTCAGTACTTCCCCCTCCCCTGGTAATTATACAACTTCAGTCAGGGCTTAAGGGCCTGGCCTTAACGCCTTTCTGGTTTGGTAGCTCAATTCATGTAGCCATTACAGTGTGTAGATGTGCCAATTCCAGTATGTTAATTTGAACTTTGTAGACTCAAATACACATCTTCTACAACAATTAACCAACTCCCCCTCCAAAAAAAAGTGGGGGTGGGTAGCTGACAGAACACAGTGCTAGGTCAGTCTCCTAGTCTAGAAATAAAGAGAATCAAGCAGCTTCCTGTTTCCCTGTGTGACCAGGTCTATGAGAACCCTCTACTTAACCGAGGTTAATAAATGATATGTTCTGTGGAGACAGGCTATATGCAGGGATAGGGAAGGAACCTGTGGGTACGTTTTGAGAAACGTTTCATTGCCATAGCAGCAACACTAGCTTTGGGGTCAGACAGCCTGCATTTTAGTTTCTGACCCCCAGTTACTAGCTGTATGACCCCAAGCAAGCTTTCTTTTATCTTCTTTTTCTCTATTTATTTTTTACTGTGGTAAAATACACATAAAATAATACTTTCTATCTTACCCATCTTAAGCATACAGTTCATTGACACTGAGTACATTCACATTGCTGTGCAGTCATTGCTGCCATCCATCTCCAGATCTTTTCATCCTGAAAAACTGAATTTCTACTCATTAAGTAGTAACTCACTATCTCCCTCCCCAAGCCTCTGGCAGCCACCACTCTACTTTCTATCTCTCTGAATTTGACTACTCGGGTGCCTCATAAAAGTAGAATCACACAGCATCAATCTTGTTGTGGCTGGCTTATTTTGTAGTATGTGTATCAGAATTTACTTCCTTTTTTAAGGCTGAATAATAATGTTCTGTTTGTTGTACATAAAACATTTTGCTTATTCATTTTTCAGTAATGCACAGTTGGGTTGTTTACATCTTTTGGCTATTGTGGATAATGCTGCTATGAACATGGGTGTATAAGTATCTCTTTGAGACCCTACTTTCAATTCTTTTGGGTATATATCAGGAGGGGAATTGCTGTATCATAATTGCCAAACTGGTTACCACGGCAACTGCACCATTTTACATTCCCTCTGACAGCATACAAGGGTTCCAGTTTCTCCACATCCTCACCAACACTTACTTTTTTTTTTTTTTTTTTTTTGATAGTGGTCATCCTAACAACTGGTATGAGGTGGTATCTTGTTTTGATTTGTATTTTCTTTCTTTTTTAAACTTTTTAATCCTCACCCAAGGATATTTTGTTTGTTTGTGAAAAAGAAACATTGATCAGCTCCCTCCCTTACACACCCTTACCAGGGATCAAACCTTCAACCTAGGTATGTGCCCTGACTGGGGATCGAACCTGCAACTTTTTCGGTGTACAGAACAATGCCCCAACCAATTGAGTCACCCAGCCAGGGCTGATTTGCATTTTTAAAAATATGTATTTTATTAATTATCCTGTTACAGTTGTCCCATTTTTTTCTCCCCTTTATTCCCCTCCACCCTGCTATCACCCCCACCATCATTTCTCCACCTTAGTTCGTGTCCAAGGATCATATGTGTAAGTTCTTTGGCTTCTCCATTTCCCACACTATTCTTCACCTCCCTCTGTCTATTTTGTGCCTACCAACTTCTTTGGGACTCTCTGAGCTTCCTGGACTTCCTGGAAGTCTATTTCCTTTGCCAGTTCAGGGAAGTTCTCCCTCATTATGTTTTCAAATAAATTTTCAATTTATTGGTCTTCCTCTTCTCCTTCTGGCACCCCTATGATCTAGATGTTGGAACATTTAAGGTCGTTGCAGCGGTTCCTAAGCCTCCTCATTTTTCTTGAATTCTTGTTTCTTCATTCTGTTCTGGTTGAATGTTTATTTCTTCCTTCTCTAAACTGTTGATTCAAGTCCTGGTTTCCTTCCCATCACTATTGATTCCATGTACATTTTCCTTTATTTCACTTTGCATAGCCTTCACCTTTTCCTCTATCTTGTGACCATACTTAACCATTTCTGTGAGCATTCTGATTACCAGTGTTTTGAACTGTTCATCTGATAGGTGATGGCTATCTCATCATCACTTAAGTTATATTTTTTTCTGGAGCTTTGAGCTGTTCTTTCATTAGGGCCATATTTTTTTTGTCTTGGGGTGCCTGTTACGTAGCAAGGGGCAGACCCTTAGTTATTCACCAGGGTGGGGCAGCCCACCTGCTGCATTGTAGTGCTATGTCGGGGGAAGGAGTCCGAGAGGGAACAGTGCTGCTTGCTTGATTCTCGGCTGACTTTCAGTCACTTTCCTTGCTACCCACAAGAAAATTGGGCTCTTCTGGTGCTGATTCCTGGGTGAGTGGGTTTGTGTACATTCTAGGACCCTGTGGGTCTCTCCAGCAAACTGTAGTAAGGCTGGGAGTTTTCTCCTGCCATCTCAACCCCTACAGGTTATTTTTTTAGTCACAGGTTTTGAGGCTTTATTTCCTGGCACTGGAACCCTGGGTTGCACAGTCTGTCTCGATCCCCAGTTGTTCCTCCCAGTTTATTCGAATGCAAATATGGGACCTCCAGGTCTGCCAGCCACTGCCTGGCATGGTCCTCCAGCCACCGCTTTGCTGTGAGTCCTCTCCACCCCAGCTGTCCATGTCTGCCCCCCTACCAGTCTGGATGAATGTTTCTTCTTTAATTACATGTTTTTCAGACTTCCAAACAGTTCAGTTTTCTGACATTTCTGGTTATTTTTTGTTTTTAAATTTGTTATTATCTTTCTTTTGGTTGTGGAAGGAGGTAAAATGTATCTATCTATGCCTTCATCTTGGCCAGAAGTCCTCTGCATTTTGTTAATGATTGGTGCATTGAGAATCTTTTCATAAGCTCCTTGGCCACTTGTCTATCTTCTTTGGAGAAATGTCTGTTCAGGTTTTTTTATATTTTTGATTTGGGTTATTTTTTGTTGTTGAGTTTCAGAAATTCACTGTACATTCTAGGTATTAATTTCTTGTCTTTTCATGCACAAAATTTTTAAATTTTCATGGAGTTCAATTGTCTATTATTTTTTGTTGTTGCTCTTCCTTTGGTGTCACCCAAGAAATCATTCCAGATTCAGTGTTGTGAAGCTTTTGCCTGGTTTTCTTCTATGAGTTTTATAATTTTAGCTCTTACATGCAGGTCTCTAATCCATTTTGAGTTAATTTTTATAGGTGTTAGGTGAAGGTCTAACTGCATTGTTTTGCTTATGGATATTTAGTTTTCTCAATACTATTTATTGAAAAGACTACCCTTTTTTTCATTGAATGGTCTTGGTACCCTTGTCAAAAATCTTTCAACTACATATATGAGCATTTATTTCTGGGCTGCCTGTTCTGTTCCATTGATCTATATGTCTGTCTTTATCACAGTAGCACACTATTTTGATTACTGTAGCTTTGTAATAAGTGCTGAAATCAGAAGTGTGCATCCTTCAAGTTTGTTCTTTTTCTAGATCATTTGGCTATTTGGAGTTTATTGAAAACCCATATGAATTTAGAATTTATTTTTCATTTCTGCAAAAACCTCATTGGGATTTTGATATTTATTGACTTTAGATAGCTTTGGGGGTAGTATTGACATCTTAACAATATTGTCTTCCAATCTGTGATCATCAGATGTCTCTTTATTTATATGTGTCTTTAATTACTTTCAGCAACATTTTATAGTCCACTGTACAAGTCTTTCACATTCTAGACTCAGTTAATTTCTAAGTATTTTATTCTTTTTGATGCTTTTAGAAATGGAAATTTTTTTCTTAATTTTCTCTTCACTGTTACTGTATAGAAATGCAACTGGTTTTTGCTCCTTGATTTTTGTATGCTGCTACTTTGCTGAATTTATTAGTCTTAACATTTTTTGTGTGGATCTTTTGGATTACAAATAAGGTCATCTACAAACAAAGATTATTTTATTTTTCCTTTCCAATGTGAATGCTTTCATTTATTTTCCTGCCTAATTGCTCTAGCTGAAACTTACAGTACTGTGTGGAATAGATTGGTAAAAGGTGGCATCCTTGCCTTCTTCCTAATCTTAGAGGAAAAGCTTTGTCTTTTGTCATTGAGCATAATGTTCACTGTGGGCTTTTCATGTATAGTTTTGGATATGTTGAGTTAGTTTCCTTCTATTTCTAGTATGTTGAATACTTTTATCATGAAAATATGTTGAATTTTGTCAAGTGCTTTTGAGATAATTGTGTGTGTGTTTTCTTCATTTCGTTAGTATGATGTATACTGTTGATAAATTTTCATATGTTGAATCATCTTTGCATTTCAGGAATATATCCCACTTGGTTGTTTTGTATATAAGCTTATTAATATGCTGTTGAAAACAGTTTGTTAGTCTTTCTTGCAGATTTTTGCATGAATGTTCATAAAGGATCTGTACTATTCTTGTCATGCCTTTTTTGTCTGGCTTTAGTACCAGGACAGTGTCAACCTCATAGCATGAGTTTCAAAGTACTCTTTTCTCTTGAGTTTTCTGGAAATATTTGAGGAGGATTGTGTTAGTTCTCTAAATGTTTGGTAGAACATTTGAAGTGAAGCCATCTGGTCCAGGGATTTTCTTTGTCAGGAGATCTTTTATTACTATTTAACCTCCTTACTTGTTGTAGTTCTGTGCAGTCATTCTCTTCATGATTCTGTCTTGGTAGGTTTTGTGTTTCTAGGAAATTGTCTTAATTTCTTGGCGGACTATTATTTACAGTATTTTCTTATAATCTTTTGATTTCTGTAGAATCAGTAGTCATGTCCACACATTGATTTCTGATTTTAGTAATTTGAATACTCTCTTTTTTTCTTAGTCCACTTAGCTAAAGTTTTGTCAATTTTGATTTTTTTTTCAAAGAATGAACTTTTGGTTTCATTGATTTTGTTTTTTATTCTGGTTACTTATTTCTACTGTAATATTTATTATTTCCTTCACTCAGCTAGCTTTGGGGTTTAGTTTATTCTTTTTCTAGTTCCTTAAGATGTAAAATTATGTTGTTGATATGGAATACTTTTTAATATAAGCATTTAGTGTTGTAAATATCCCTCTTTACACTGCTTTTGGTGCATAAGTTTTGGTATGTTGTGATTTAATTTGTTTCAAGGTATTTTCTAATTGCCTATGTGATTTTTTTTCTTTGACCCATTTGTGGTTTAAAAGTGTGTTGTTCAATTTCTACAGATTTGAGGTTGTGTATTTTTTTTTCCTTATTGATGTCTAACTTTGTTCATTGTGGACAGTGTAGATATTTTGCATGCTATTTGTCTTTTAAAATCTGTTGAGGCCCTAGCCTGGTACCTCAGTTGGTTAGAGCATTGTCCCGATAATGCCAAGGTTGCAGGTTCAGTCCCCAGTCAGGGTACATACAAGAATCAACCAATCTGGCCTTCTGGTTCTTACCGCAGGCTGTGTTCTTATATCTCCTGTACAGAAAGAGAGGCAGAGTAAACCCACCCCATATACACCGCAGCTCAGGCCCTTTGCCTGGTCTGTATTGTGAATAGGGGAACATGGGGGGGGGAAGAAGAAGCAACCAATGAATGCATAAATAAGTGGAACAGCAAATCAGTGTTTCTTCCTCTTTCTCCCTCCCTCTCTTTCTCTCTCTCTCTCTCTCTCTCTAATAAATAGATGAAAGAGAGAAGGAAAGAAGGAAAGAAAGAAAGAGAGAGAGAAAAGTAAAAAAAAGAATCTGTTGAGATTTGATTTGTATCCTCACATATAGTCTATCCTGGAGAATGTCCTATGAGCACTTGAAAAGAATGTATATTCTCTTATTGGGTAGAACATTCTGTGTATCTGTTAGATCAGTTGGCTTATTGTGTTGTTCAAGTCTCATTATTTCCTTACTTATTTTCTTTCTGGTTCTTTCCATTATTAAGAATGGGGTATTGAAATCTCCAACTGTTATTGTAAAACTGTTTCTCCCTTTAATTCTGTCAATTTTTGCTTTATATATTTTGATGTCATGTTATTAGATGCATAAATGTTTATAATTATGTTTTTGCTGTATTGATCTTTTGTTAATTTGTCCTTTGCTAATAAGGACATTTATAATGTCCTTCTTTTTCTCCTGTAACCTTTTTTATTTAAAGTCTATTTCACCTGATATTAGTATAACTACCCCTCTGCTCTTGGTTACTGTTTGCATGGAATATCTTTTTTCCACCTTTTTACTTTCATTCTATTTGTGTCTTTGGCTCTAAAGTGAGTTTTTTTTTTTTTGCATACAACATATAGTTGTTGAGTCATGTTTTTTCTATCCATTCTGCCCTTTGGTTGTAGAGTTTAACCCATTTACAATTAAAGTAACTACTGATAAAGGAGAGAGACTTCTTACCATTTTGGTGTTTTTTTTTTCTGTATGCCTTAAGCTTTTATTGTCCCTCATTTTGTCAATTTTGTTGATTTTTTTTTCCAAAGAATCAATGGTTTCATTGATTTTCTTTTATATTTCTGTTTTGTTTATTTCTGTTCTGTCTTATTTTGTGTTTGTTTTCTTTTTGTACTGAAATATTTTAATTGCCTTCTCATTGCCTTCTGTGTCTATAGCTGTTTTCGGTGGTCACTGTGGGGATTGCATTTGACATTCTAAAGTTAGTCTAATTTTAATTCTTACCATCACATGCACATGCTTTCTGATCCCCAGCTTTTTCATTTGTAAAGTACCTGTTCTACCTGCCTCAAAAGGGTTCTGTGAGGCTCAAAGTGACCGTCATTGTAAGAGCTCCTTGTAGACTGTTAAACATGTGCACATTGTTATCTTTTCCTTGTATTTGCAGTTATATTCTGGACTTGACTAGGTGGATGCACTGTTGGTTCTGAGTTGTAAATAAGTAAAACAATATTTAGTAACTCGTTTTTAAGTGGCCTTTCATAGAAATGAAACTATCTTGTTTTCTAGATAGTTTTTTCTTTTTAAAAACTCTTTGATTCCTCAAGGATGTGTTAGGGTCCTGCTTTATTCACTACAGTATGCCAAGGCATGTGGGAAAAGCAAAAACTCATCCTGCCCTAAAGTAGCATAATATAAAGCTGGGGGACAGGACTGGTACACAGGGAAACATACAGTAACCCAAGCATGACCGGCATGTGATGGCTGAGCCATGGGCCCATTGGAGCAGGAGGAAAGGGAGAGACTCCTTGAGGGAAGTGGGACCAAACAGGGCTGGACTTGGCCAGATAGGGGTGAGCTGCATAGGAGGGAAAACGGAGGAAACACAGGAAGAAACAAGGGGAACAACTCACATAGGAATAGGAGAGGGCTGTTTAGCGGACACATTTTCTTAACAAGGAGCTACAGAAGCCACCTTGGAAGTATTACTGCTCTTCATTTAACAGGTGGGGAAGTTGAGGTTCAGAAAATGTTTTGCCTGAGGTCACATAACTAGTTAGTGTGGAGTTGGTTCTAGAACTTGCTGATCTGTTGAGCCTCAGGCCAGTGTTTTGTCTATTGTGCCAGGGTTTCCCTTGACCCTGGCTGGCCCTGGAGGTATTACACTGAACTTCAGAGCATTCAAACCTTTGTCTAAAATGATGGTACTTTTTATCATAGCACTGACATAATATGAAAAGTTTTAATATTTTGAAAGACGGGGAATGTAAACTAACATGACACAGTCCACTGCAGATGAAAAGAGTAAGACAGCACTGCAGGTACGGCTTAGGGAGACATCAGAGATGGACTGTTGAATAAAAGCATCAAGCTCCAGGGTGCTCACTACAGGCTCCCTTTGTGGAAAACCCACAATGTGTCTGTACATTTTAGTCTTTGTACTCGTATATGACATAGCACCTGGGGCATGAGGAGCAGAGAGACTTCACCTCTGTTAGGAGCTCTTTTCGGTTGCTCTTCCTGTTCCAACTGGTCATCAGCGGGCCTTTCTTTTTTGTGTGCACCACCCTGAGCACCTCTTCATGGGCCCCTACAGATCAGCTCCTCTTCCCCTGGGCTGCCTGATAATTGTCTCAACTACATAGCCTTTTGGAACCAGGCAGGTAAAAAGGCTGTGGATAGTAAATATTTTATAATTCCCTTAATTTTACAAGTTGTGTGTCAAATAGATTTTTATGGGCATTCTGCTTCTGCAAAGCTGTTTATTAATATGATTTGGAAGATCATCAACATAACATTACCTTAGTGGCATTCCACAAATATTTGAAAACCTACTGTGTTGCACGCTCTTTTTCTTATCTTGAGGGTTCAAGGGGACTTAAGTTAAAAGCAGATGAGGTCTCAGCCAGGAAAGCCCTTTCATTGTAAAGCTGTGCCCCCATGGGAAGGGCTGTACTTTAGTGACACAGTGTCTGGGAGGTCTAATCCTGCCAGAAAGAGTGAGGAGCACTGCCATCTGTAGCACGAAGTTGCATATGCCAAGTCACAGCAGGGGTAAAAGTACCACGAGAGTGGAATGGAAGGAATGATTGCATCCAAATGTGCAGGTGAGAGACAGCTGCCTGGAGGTGGCCTTGAAGATAGACCTGAGATGTCACAGTGCTTCAGTTGGTTTCACTAGGCAGAAATGGGGATGGAAACAGAAGGTGTGTCAGGTGGAAGGAACAGCTTCAGCAAAGGTGTGAAGGGTAGAAAATTTGATCTGTAACTTTGGCTTAATTACCTTAGCCCTGTGGAGCATGGTCTGTACCCTGCTTTTCCCACTAGCTTGGATGGAGCCATTGGCTTCAGTGCCCTGAAATGTGTAGATCTGCTCCTCATGTACCTTTCTCCAAGGAGCTCTTCCTTTTGTAGTGACGTTCTGCGTTGCCCTCTCTTCTAGAGTCTGGCTTTCTTCCTATCTCTGTGGCCCTGGTGCATGTGGATGTGTCAGATGAGTAGTAGACACTCTGTAAATGTTTGTATAATGAATTTCTCAATTAAGGGACATACTGTTACTGTTTTCTTATTGTCACCTGGGGTTTTTCCCCCGTTTTCTACTTCCTGATTGCTTTTCCTCCTGCTAATCCAGTTATATCTTCTCTTTGCAGATGAAGCTACTAAACTTATATATAAAGAGGGCCCAGACCACGAACAGCAACAGCAGCTCCTCCTCCGATGTCTCCACACACAGCTAGTGGAACGCCAGAGTCCCTGTTGCCCTAGAACAATCGGTGGTGCCTCTCAGAGACCTTTCCCCACCCTCCCCTTCCGAGGCTGCCTGGGCGGCGGGACAAGAAGGCCCGCAAATATTTATTACAATCAGTATTTTGGTCCCTTCCACCTTTTGTGTATAATCTTACTGGTATTGAATGTAAAGGAAGCAAGGCCTGTTGTGCAGTCTTCGTACAAAACAAAAGGAATGAGAAATGAAGAGCCATACATGTCTTCTACAGCCTACTGAGATCATAAAATCATGGGTGTGGGTGCAGTTTACAAAAGTCAGAGAGCCCTCTAGTCAATGCTGAATTGGAAGTAGTTTTCCCTTTAGTTAACAGAGTTGAGAGTGTGTCGATTTATGTCTCTCTGTCATCTTAGCCTGCTTGGTTCTGGATATAGTCTGTATGGGGCAGATGACACCCCCACCCAATCACAGCTGACACCATGAAAGGGTTGGTTGTATGTCTTTAAATTGTATGTTGAGACCTACTAGTAATATGAGTCACATCTTGGCAAGAAATGGAGAAGAGCCTGAAAATGCTCTCCAGTTCCAGGTTTTAACAAGCCTGGAATTTTGCTTATACTATCTAGACTGAAGGCTGACTGCCCTCACTTTAGTTTATTGAAAGGGCATCCCCACCATCTCCTTCCAGGTCAGGCTCCCAGCCCCCCTGAACAGTTCTGGGATTGTTTCCTCACCACAGAGCTTCTACTTAGAAGACTTCTTCAAGTTTATATCCAAACACAAAAATGACAGGATATTAGTAGCATCAGTTAGTGGATACCTCAAATGGCATATCATGAAGCATAGAAGATATGAGAAGTTTGTTTTACTACCAAGGTCTTAAGGAAACACAGTTTTACAGGGCTTCTCTCATGATCCTGGTTCCTGGTCTTTCTGACTTGGCTGCTTCTTTTCTCTCCTCCGGCCTTTGCCTATTAAGCTGCTCAATTCTAAAATGTTTTCATTTAATCTGGTAAATGGCAACTGTAATGCCATCTCAATTTTCACTTCTCTATTTCATTTGGGACTAAGATCAGACAGAGAAAAGTCTAGAGAGACCAGGTATCGGCAGTATTATTATTATTTTTTTTTATGGACTGAAATACTTCCTTGATCATCTGTTGAAATAATCATTGTTTAAGGAAAAAGTAATTATGGTGAGTGACAAATTGCTGAAAAACAGGATTTGAAATTCAATTTTAGGGTTTCCTTTTTTTTTTTTTTTTTTCAGTAACTACTCATAAAAGTTTTGTGAGGGTATATTGCTTCAAATTATTAATTTAAAGTCTGGTTAAATAAGTTTGGAGTAAAATTCTTAAAGCCAAATGGAAATTCCTGTTGCAATCATGAAGATTTCTGGGTCTTTTGCTACTTTATTTCAGAGCCTCTAAATTGAAGTGATTTGTACATAAGGAAAATGCTTATTCTGGTATTAATTTTGATGAGGCATTTGCTGTTTCAGGGCAGAGTCCCTTCACTGCCAGCAGTGAGAAGCAGAGATTTTTATGGTTCTCACCTCTGACCTCCACAGGCACCCCTCCCTCTTCTCTTCTCTGACCCTCCAGCGGTGATGTTGGAAGTTACGAAAGACAGTGTAGCAAACATAACTTATTTTCATTCACATTTTATTTTAGATAGTTTATTTGGAAATAGACACTAAAAATGAAGGTCCAGGAACAGTGAAGCCAGGGTTCCTTCACTGTGGGGGAGTAGGGGGCATCTTGCACTTGTAGGGAGTACCATGGTTGAATATGACTGGCTTATGTTTGGCTCAGAACACAGCAGGACCAGGCCTTACTTTTGTTGATAAATACTATTTGTTAATATTTCACTAATGGGACTTTTTTTACACTCTACAAGTGAGTCAGAGCAGAGCGTCTTTTCATTACTCTGTTGTACAAATGTTGATTCTGGCTAGGTTATTTATGAGTTCTTTTATGCCTAATACATTCGGAAGGACTTTTCTCTTTCAACTGTGACTCAGAGATCACCATAGCACCTGCCTGTAGTTGGGAAGAATCTTGAACATTGTCGGATGTCCTTGTAGTACTCACAAAGGGCTCACTTTAAATGTCACTTGCCTGACCTTCAGTCCCTGACTACAATCACTCACAGGTCTCCTGGCCACAATCAAACTGCTGCCTGCCACTAAGGAGATTTGCATGCTGCTGCCACCTCACAGAAAGAGGCTGTGCCTGCCACCCTCGGAATCCTGACGGCTGCAGCTCCCTGGCCGCTTCCCTGCAGGGCACCTGTCCACATGAGACAACGGGACACAAAAAGCAAAGCACCCAAAGCTGGGTTTGTCTCCCCTGTTCACCAGGTGGGCCCCCAGAAACCCACCTGAACCCACCACTGGGGCCACATGGTCCAGCTCCTGCTCTCCTTCAAACTGCTGCCCTCCCTTGAGACCATGGTTTGTTCCACAGGTTGAGGGCAAGGGCATGCCAGCAGTCCTTAGTATACCATGTGCTCCAGGACGCAGCACCCATTACTTGCTCACCAATTCCCTGCGCAGGTAATGCAGCAGACTTATGTCATCTTTTTTCTTTCCCCGTTGCCCTTTATTTATCAAGCATAATACACATCAAAGAACAGCAAATAAAAACTTTTTAGATCCCACAGGACTTGGCTAATAATGATGTTTGGAAATGAAAAAAGAAATGCTCTGAAAAATGTCAGCCACTGAAGCAGTTTTGTCAGCACTATGTTTACACGCATGGTCCCCAGACCCCATGTTGGATTTTTGTTTTGGGGTTTTGTTTGGTTTTCGTTTGGGGTTATTTTTTTTTTGGCTTTTTCTATTACATCCATATCTGTATTTATATCTTATTTGTTTCACTTTCAAGTGTATCATGGCAAATGTACAGATTTTTTTGTTAATAATGTGCTAGGATTTGCTAAAAAAGAAAAAAAATTCACTTTTTTGAGTTTGCCCTAGAATAAATAAAACAATTCAGTTTCCTGCTTTGACACAGTCTTTTTCATTACTGTGCTCTGTAGATAGCTTATCCCATCTCCCTGACATCAGAGCATGGCCACATCTATAAAGAATCCAAGGAGGCTCTTTCTCATAATGGAAACAGGTCCAACTCTAAGGAGCTGTAGTACCCAACTGGAGTGCTGGGTGCTGCTGTGTGCACTGTGGGGTGGAATGTTTGGGCATGAAAACATGGTGAGGTGCATGAGCAGGGGGCCTCCCGTGTCTGGCCCCTTTTCTTATCTGAGCAGGGAGGACATTAGTTTCCAGAATGTCAGACCAGCCTGTGTTGAGAGCAGGTAGGTCTTCAACTGGACCTTGGGAAAGGGCTTGAAAGGGGCCACCTGACAGCTGGCAGGGCTTTGTTCCTCGGAGAAACACCTGCACCCCACCAGGAGCACCGATCATTTCTTTGAAGACTTGTATTTAAATATTTTGAATTTTACATTGTGTTCTATATACGTTTCAAGGATCGCATTTTCTATGACTCTGAGCCTCCTTTCCCCAGTGGCCAATTGTTTACTACCTGTTTAACGTGACCACAAAGTGATACATATCACAAACACCTGGTTCAAATCCCAGTTCACCCTCTCTCCCATGGGCAAGCCATGTCACTTTCTGCCTCAGCCTTTTCATTTATCAGTTGGACTAAGAACTGCCTCCTGGAGGTACAGTGAGGATTAACAGATGATGTGAGTGAAGCAGCTGGCAGAGTAGATGCTGCTGACAGCCCCTGCCCTGTCTCCTGCTATGGAAGGGAAAATTCTCAGGAAGCTGAGGTCACACCCCAGGCCTGTGTGTACAGTGAGTCCATTAATTATTAGCATAGGTAGAAAACCCCCAGGGGATGGACTGACCACATTCAGGCAAGGCAGGCAATGCCACTTTCTACATTTGGATCTCTAATCCCTTGTGCTGTTGCCCTCCCTCATCCCAGGGCTGCCAGGAAGTCCTTACCATCTTTAAGAGGGTCATACGTCATGGTTATGGGGTGGGGGCATAGGGGCCCACTTTAGCCAGTGGGTCTTTGGAAAATCTGAATGATCTCCAGAATATTGAGCATTTCTGCTCACGTAGTTTTGTGCTTACTTGTGTGTTACGTGTTGTTGAATCAGCTCTGACTCCTGGCAACTCTTGACAACTCTCGAGTGGTGTCCACAATGTCCCATCCTCAACAGCCTGCTCTGCCCCTGCAGACTCAACCTAAGGCTGCTTTTGTGAAATCAGGCCACCTCATATTTGGTCTTCCTCTTTTTCCTGCTGCCTTCTATTCCCCCCCCAACCCCCCCAGCATCATTGTCTTTTCTAAAGAGCCCTACCTTCTCAAGATATGCCTGAAGTAGGACGGCTTCAGCTTTGTCACTTTTGCTTCCAGTGATGTTTTGGGCTTAACTGACTCTTGGAGTCACTTGTACATCTTTCTGGTGGTCCAGAGTATGCATAAAGCCCTTTTCAACACCACAGTTCAAACAAATCAGTGTTTTTCCTATCAGCCTTCTCCTCTGTGCCACTTTTTCATCTGTACATAGTAATTGGGAACCTGAGGGTGTGTATGGTCTTAGCTTGGTCCCTAATGACACATCTTTGCTCTTAGTGGTATTTTCTAAGTCCTATTACTACCTGTGTACGTCTCAGCCTTCTCTTGGTTTTTTGGCTCCTGTCTTCTATTCAAATTGATGACTAAACCAAGACAAAATATTTAGCAATTTCAGTTGTTCTGGATTGTCTATGTTTAATTGGTATATTTCTCCTGTGGTCATAATTTTTGTCTCTTGATGCTTAAATGCAGTCCTGCTTTGGGGTTTTTACTTTCATCAGAAGTCATTTCAAATCCTATTTTCTGCCAGTAAGGTTGTGTCATCTGCATTTTTTTTTAAGAATTTATTTGTTTCTTTTTAGACGGGAAGAGAGAGAGAGAAATATCAACATGTGGTTACCTTTTGCACGCCCCATACTAGGGACCTGGCCCGTAACCCAGGCACATGCCCTGACTGGGAATCAAACTGGCGACTCTGGTTTGCAGGCCAGTGCTCAATCCTCTGAGCCACACCAGCCAGAGCTACATATTTTGTTACTGATACTTGCACCTATTTTCTCTCAAATCATAGAAGGTTGCAGAACCCCCTGAAGCTGTTCTTGACATTCTTGTATCATTAATGGAGAGAGGGGATGGTTGACAGGCAGCTTTAATAATCATTGGTGAGGCACTTAGACTTTTGAAGAATTTGTATCCTGTAGCATCTTACTGATTTTTATATCAATTGTGGGGTACAGATAAACGATGTGCTGCCATGTTCAGTTTCCAGGTGAGGAAACTGAGGCACAAGGAAATACCCCAGCTAGACAGTGACAAATGGAGTTGAGGCTCCTGCCATGTTCAGCTGTCTTCCCTGCCTCCTCAGGCCTCCCACCCTTTAGATGACAGCTCCTGAAATTACAGCAAGCACATTGGAATCTTCTGGGGGCTTGTGAAGCAGAAGTTGGGCCCCACCCCAGCAGTGCTGATTCTCCAGGGCTAAGGTAGGGCCTGGAAGTGTGCATTTCTAATAAGTTTCCGGCGATGCTGATGCTGCTGGTCTGTGACCACAGAGAACCATTCAGGGCATTTTTATTAAAACATGAAAGGGCAGGTGGCCCCAAGCTCTGGGACCATCCTTGAGACAAGAGGCTGCAGAAGAAAGCCCTGGGCTTCGGGAATGTCAGCAAGATTGTCAGTGGTGACTAATGCAGCATCTAGACTGATCTTGAGAGGGAAATGGAGTACTATTTGAAGAGGGGAGGTAGGAGTGTCTCAGACAAACAGGATATACACCTCCCCTGGGTATAAAGCTCCCACTCAGGAGAAAGTTCTTCCCCCACCTTGAGTATTTCACCTGGCTTTCCATTTCTTCCAGTATTTATTAACTCATACTTCAGTGGCTCCAGGCAAGAACGGACAGAGGTCATGTGAACAAGCATCTAATCTTAGATTATGTATTTAAAAAACATTAAAATACTTGCACACCAGTGCCCTCCTCAGACCCAGGACCTGCTGCTAGTACTGAAGCCTGGAAGGTGAACTCCACTGGGCTCTGGACCACTGGTGGGCACAGCATTCCAGGTGGATTTTTGACACTCTGAGATGACCCTGTCCCCTTCTGTTCCCTGCCAAGGAGACGCGTGTCGGGCAGACAGTGCCGCAGCCTAGACACAGCACATGGGAAACATTTATGGTGCACCCAGGCACTGCTCACTAGGCCTGGCAAAGGGAAAGGGGCCAGCTCGACTGTAGGAAGTCTGGGTCCTGAATCCAACTCTGGGTGTTTCAGGACCTATGACTTTAGGCAAATGACTGCAGTTTATGGTGACCTCAGTTTCTTCCTCCATGAAATCCAAAGAGTGGGGAATTGGCATGGGTGGTGGGAGAGTAAGAGGATTAGCATACTGTGTAAGTGCCTAACGTAGTTCTTGGACTCCTGAACAGACTTCAGCTGTTATAATTCTTACTATTAAAAATCACCATTATTGAGGCACCTACCCCAATTTCTGACAAACAGATGAAAGAATATTTCTGCCCCCTTTTAAGATTTTTATTTATTATTTTTTATTTTGTCTTTGTATCTCAAGAAGAAGCATTGTTGTACGAAAATCTTTCCTCCACAAATTGATTGTTACAGACTCTTTTTCTGTTTGAGATTATTTTTTTTCAAGTACAATTTTCTGCTTTTTCCCCCATCACTCCCCTGCAACCCAGCCATCCCCACATGCCCCTCCTGATTCCACACCCCCCCCCATTTATTTATTTTTTAGAAGCGAAGGAGAAAGAGAAGGAGAGAAACATCAATGTGTGTTTGCCTTTCACACACCCTCCCTCTACTGTGGACCTGGCCCGCAACCCAGGCATGTGCCCTGACTGGGAACCGAACCACAATCCTTTGGTTTGTAGGCCAGCACTCAGTCCACTGAGCCACACCAGCCAGGGCTATAGCTTTTAAAACCCACTGGGCAGTGGGAAAGATCAACACATAAACCTTGAGCTTATGGGTGCTTTTCCATCTGTACAAGAGATGATCAGACTTGAGCAAGCACTGAATGCCCTGCGCCTCCAGCCTCCACCTGCTCCTCAGCCCTTGAGCACAGGTCTCCTTTTACTGGGCACCCTCTCCACCTCGCGCACCCCTCCTCTTCCTATTCCTGGCAGCCACATTTTATCTCCTTGAGCTCCAGATTCATACACCCAACTGCCTTCTTGACTTCTCCACGTGGATGTCCTGGGGCTGCTCTTGTAGAGTCTTTCCATGATTGGACTTTTGAGCTGTCTCCCAGACCTGCTACTCCATTTATAAAAATATAACATACCCAGATGCTAATGCCTGGCCCCTTCTCATCCTCCACTTCCCCCTCAGCCCACCTCCAAGTTCCACGAATCCCACCTCCAAAGTGGTTCTGGAAACCCTCCACCTCTTTCCTCACCCAGCTACTACCTGGCCCAGGCCTCCCTCTTGTCTCACTTGCACAGCCACAGCGGGGTTGCTCTGACCCTCTCCTGCTCACCACTCCTACCTTCTAGTTTCCTCCTGAAGGTCCACAGCTGCTTGTTTTACAAAAGGCTCATCTGAATGGTCATCTCTTTACTTCAGATCTTGCAGTGGCCTCATACTCACACACACACACACACACACACATACACACACATCTGGATAAAATTCCAAAATCTCAATCATGGCCTACAAGGCCCACCACCTAGACCCTGGTTTCTTATGTCGCTGTGCCTCAGCCCCTGGGCCTTTGCATTTCTGTTCCCTCTGCTTGGTCTGCTTCCCTCACCTCTGAAGACAGACAGACAGACACACACACACACACACACACACACACACACATCTAAACATGCATTTCCCTTGGTTAACTTCTATAGATATTTTAGGTCTTGGCTTAAATGCCAGGTCATTACTTCTTTGAAGAACAATCTAAACTATTCTCAATACTTTTCCTTCCTAACCCTCATCATGCATTT